TTCCCATAGTGTAGTGGGTGGCAAATGGCCACATAGCGGTCCCATGCCATGGCTGTCAACAGCAGACAGTCAGCCACACCTAAGGCCACAAAGAAGAACATCTGAGCAGCACACGATGCCAAGGGAAAGGGCTTATGGGGAGCCAGCAGGTCACAAAGCATTTGTGGTATGACCACCAAAGTGTAGGCTGTCTCAGAGCATGAAAGGCTGCCCAGGAAGAGGTACATGGGTGTATGGAGGAGAGGATCAGTCCACACCACAGTCATAATCAGCCCGTTGCCTGCCAAGGTCACTGCATACATCAGGAGGAAGAGTCCAAACAGCAGTCGGGCCAAGCCTGGGCGACTAGTGAACCCCAACAGGACAAACTCGGTCACCATGGTACAGTTGACAGAAGGATCACGAACCATCCCTGAGCTGTAGTGGAAGTAACACAGAGGGACATATACCTACATCAGTTATGAATGCCATTAGCAGAAATATGCAAGAGGATTGGTAAACCTGAACTGTCATTGTGGGTTTGACCCTCTAGTCCAGGAGTCACCAATTTTGAGGGGCCTCGGTGCACATTAGAATTCTGTGAAACTATCATGAGAACCACAAATTACCCATGTTATGGAAGAAAAACCAAGGACATTCTCTCACACACAAACCCAGTCAAAACAGCCAGCTATAACACCAGCCAATTAGAATACAATCAAAAAATGAGGCCAAACCTGCCAAAAGAATAAGCCAACTAATTTGTGTTTGGCAATATTCTCTCATGCACCACAGTAGTTATAACTGTAGTATATAACTCTGCTGTGCTTTATCATATAAAACAAGCAAGGTTTCACACAGCAGACAAACACTTTGCAGCTATGGAAAACTCTCATTTACCAGATTCAGTCCAGTGTTCACCACTTGGTAACGGTTCATATAACCCCTATGAGCAATCACCTTGTGGAAGATTTTTTTCTGCACATGAGCAAAATTAGCCTCCAAAATTATCCATCCTGCTTGTGAGCAGCAAACTGTGTATGTGTGCATGTTCTCTGTTGACCAGTGGAATTTTGAAAGAGTTGGGGAGGAGGCAAAAAGGAAAATTATCTTCTAAGAAACTTCAGCACAGTTAATAAGGAGGGGTACTATTTACTATTTTGTGAATTCATGCTGTTAGATGAATGAAGCAATGGGCTAAGGAAGAAAGGGATAGGAGCCAAACCCATTCTTCCTGTCAAAAACAAGAGTAAGCAATATTTTCGCAAGATCCCTATTCTCCACTTTTGGGGGGAAATTGGTGTGGGCCATTTTGCTAAATATTCTCAGGATGATGGTGGCATGTGGCTGAAATTTTCCATCAGTTCAACAAGAACCTCCAAAAGAAAACTCTCAGAAAAATGGAAATGCTTTTCTGAGCAGATTTAAGCCCAGCTCTGGGTGGATGTGCATTCACCAAACTTAGTATGAACTTTGCAAGCAGAGTTAGAGCATGGGGGAAATGATGGTGTGCTAGAGAGATCTAGAACCTGTGCACCACAAGGTTGCCAGGGGCTCAGCTAGAACTTTTTAGTGGACTCTGTTCCTGTGCCTCTAGCTCTTATTCAGAGGTATTCTGGCTTCATTTCACACCAGGCCCCTCACTGCCCATGCTTTGCACCCTCCTTGAGTGCTTTGTCCTGGCTGGAATGTGTCCTCAAAGTCTGAAAATGACTCTTGCTTCCTTGAATGGGGCATAGAGGGGGGTGAGTGTGTGTAGAAACTAACCTGTACAAATGTAAAATGTATAGTCACTGTTCTCCTGCTTTTGCTTCTGGCTTTTGGCCCTCAGAAGGGAATGTGACCCTTCGTCCGAGAAACACCCCCCCCACTGTCTCCTCAGTTCAGGACAGGTAGAAAGGTGGCCTTTTGCAATTTCCCATATGAACTGACCTGACCGGCTCTGACTCAGCCTGCAGCTCCTGGGCTAATGGGCAGATCCTTCCGATTTCACCCTTCTCCAAATGTTGCAATGCAGGTCTCCACTCAAGAAGGCATTTTCAATTGCACACTACAGAATAAAATGCATAGATTTGCTATAAAGGTAGTCTAGAAAAGGACTGGTGAAGGAACAGGTGGGAAGCACAACAGTCGTTGGATTCAGACCTGGGTTAGGAATACTTTCATATTTTCACTCTTTTCAGGTGGAATTCAATCATATAGCAACATATTCAGGTTTTGCAATTTTTGATTTGGCAAAAGTTGATTGGGCATTATTGTGCAAAAAAATAATTTCCTCTTCCCGCCCCCCACCCCCCCACCCCACCACCACCAAAACCCCAGACGTTTTGCAATACAGAACACGGTAGAGAAGTGCACTGGGAAATGGAGGGCAGCAACTGTTTGATGCAACCTCGAATAAGCTCCCCCAAAATTATTCAGAATGAACGTTCAGTGACTAGTTAATGTTATCTAATTTGCTCACAAATTTTGTGTAAAAAAACAACAAGACAAAACCACTGGGATGTATAATCAATAAATAGGTCATTTTGCCTTTGGGGCAAAATATGTTTAGGATATATTTAAATATGAATGCTTGTGGAATTTTTTAAGGCAAATGACGCAACAGGGCAGAAAGGGTTTAGGAATGAACACATGCAAAAGTGGCACACGGGAAATAGACTGTTCATTCAGGTTTTGCAGGTTTTGCAACAATGCAAAAAACAAACCAACCTGCACAAGCTGGTGAAACTGGGTGTGGGGGGGGGTTGCATATTACAAGAAATGATCCCTCTTTTGAAATGCCTTCGGCTTTCTTCGGGGAAATGTTACACACCCTTCAGCATTTCTCTGATGAAAATAGAGATGTCCTATTCAATTATTATTATTATTATTATTATTATTATTATTATTATTATTTTACTATTTATACCCCACCCAACTGACTGGGTTGCCACTTTGGGCAGCTTCCAACACATATAAAAACATAATAAAACATTAAACATTTTTTAAAAATTCCCTATACTATTCAGATGGCGCAGCAGTTGAATAACTCCATACCCTTCAACATTTCTCTGATAAAATAGGGACATTGTAAGGGAAAATGGGACAGTCTAGGATCAAATCAGAAACTGGGACGGCTTCTGTAAATCTGGGACATCCCTGGAAAATAGGGACACTTGGAGGGTTTGATGTTAGTGGTCTCCAGTAGGAATGGTGGAAGGTTGTCAATTCCATTAGCATTTTAAAGACAAATCTATTCACACTTTATGACACAGTACACAAATGGAAAAACAGGTACCCTTTGAAATCTGCACTTACCTGAATGTTGTGGTGCACTTCTCCAACCAATGTTTGCAAAAATGCATATATTAAAGAAAGTGTGCATAAAGATTAATGTATTAGTGAAAATAGCATACAAAAATGCCTTCTATTAGAGGAAATTGCTTTCAAAAATGTGTACATAATTTCAAAGTGCATACAAAAATGTGTTTTTATGAGAAATTCACACTAAAATACTAATGAATTTTCATTAGGAATTTATTATTATTATTATTTTTGCAAATTGCTGAAGAAGTGTCTTGAACTGAATTTGAGGTTGCAAAAATGTGAAACTGAGGAAACCAAAATGGACAAATCCTTCTACTCCTAGTCTCCTTCAGTCACTAGAACAGTGGATCTCAAATATGATGATGGGACATCCAGAAAGTAGAAAACAATGCAGCTACATAAGAACATGAATCCTTCCCCAAGTATAATATTGTCCTTGAATCGTCCCACCCCAGTTGCCATCCTCTGCCACCACACCCTTTGAGAGCCTCTGCACTAGAATAACAGAGCAGAGCCCTAAAAGCAGAAGGCAGCTGGCCAAGAATGACATTGTTCATGGCTGAAATATATATATAATTTTTTTATTATTTATTTTTTTGTCCAGTAGCATCTTAGAGACCAACTAAGTTTGTTCTGGGCATAAGCTTTCGTGTGCATGCACACTTCTTCAGATACACACATAGTTCATGGCTGTGATATTAAAGTTCTGTACTGGTCCCTTTTTCGTCTCCAAAAGCTTCTATTTTTTCTCTGTCTATTGGTCACCTCACAATAATTTCTGTCCCCAGACTCCCTTCTGCCAGCCCCTGAGCCTCAAATCCCCTAAATGTGCAGCTCAGGATGTTTGGGCAGCCAAGGAGAGTGACAGATGAATATATACATGTTGTTGGTCCTTACCTCCAAGTATCCTGGGAGATAGTACATAAGATCTGTGCAGAAAATGAGAAATTGCTCAGCTACAAAGTATACCCTCCAACATTTATCTGATGAAAATAGGAACGTCCCATTCCATAACGATAATTTTGCTATTTATACCCCACAAATCTTACTGGGTTGCCCCAGTCACTCTGGGCAGCTTCCAACATATATAAAAACACAATAAAGCATTAAATGTAAGAAACTTCCCTGTACAGGATTGCCTTCAGACGGCTTGGGGAGTCAGATAACTCCATACCCTCCAACATTTCTCCAATGAAAATAGGGACATCCTAAGGAAAAGTGGGACATTCCGGGGTCAAATCAGAAACCGGGATGGCTTCTCTAAATCAGGGACATCCCTGGAAAATAGGGACACTTGGAGGGTCTGGTAATGTATCTATTTCTAAAATAATTATTCATATGTTCTAAGATAAGTCATCTAACCTTGTGTGACGCCTCCAAGCTGGTTGGTTGTATATATCACCTCTGGGGCCACAACAGTTCAACCCTTAAACTGTAGTTGCTGGGAGGGAAAATTATAGCTGGAGTATTCTGGGATTCCAGCCTCTGGGAATATAAATATGAGATTGTATCAGTTCTCATGTAATATGTGGCAATGGATGATTAAATGATTTGTTGATTAAGGCACTTTTAAAACTTGTGATTCTGTGTTTAGTTTTTCTGCCTATTTTAATTTTATTCCATGATGAGTACCAGTAAATGTTGAGATTTTGTTTTGTGTGCAGGTCAACTCAGCACTGCAACATTTTTTGCTATTGCCACACATGCACATATCGCAATCACCATCCTGTTTACTGTTTGGACACTCCAGGAACTCTGGACTATAAAAGCCACTGGGAATCCAAGGGAACCCAAACATCACTCTCCAGGGACTTGCAGAGATGAAGGTTGTGGCCCTCACTCTCTTCTGCCTCCTCATTTCCGTGAATGAAGCCAAAGTATTTGAGAAATGTGAACTGGCTGCACTTCTGAAACAGCATGGGCTGGATGGATACCATGGCATTAGCCTGGCCGACTGTGAGTTTGCTCTTCCTTTCCCTCCATCTTTGCATTTTTAGGTGTTTGGGGACAAATCCTGCCCAACCAGGATCCAGCCCAGAATCATTTTCAGTGTGAGGCTAATGTTTAACTAGAGTTTTTGAAGCCCTGATTAAACATACTAGTGGGGTGGAAGAGTGGGAAATAATGCCAATATAAAAAAGAAGAAGTAAAGGACCCCTGGATGGTCAAGTCCAGTCTAAGGCGACTCTGGGGTTGTGGTGCTCATCTCTCTTCAGGCTGAGGGAGCCAGCGTTTCTCCACAGTCAGCTGTCCAAGTCATGTGGCCAGCATGACAAAACCACTTCTGGCGCAACAGGACACCGTGACGGAAATGCTGTTTACTTTCCTGCCACAGCGGTGCCTATTTATCTACTTTCACTGGTGTGCTTTCGAACTGCTAGGTTGGCAGGAGCTGGGACAGAGCAACGGGAGCTCACCTCGTTGAAGGGATTCGAACCATTGACCTTCTGGTTGGCAAGCTCAAGAGGCTCAGTGGTTTAGACCACAGCGCCACCCACGTAGCCAATATATGTCACTCCTGGCAACAAATGCGCCCCTTTGCTTTCAGATAGCACATGGGTAGATGAGCCTAAAAAGCCTGGGACATAAGTTTTCATGGCCCTCTCGCAGCTTTGGAGGCTCACCTAGCAGAAGCAATGTATTTAGCATTAACTCTGGAAGTGTACACTCGATTCCAACCTAACTAAGGCTCCTGGTGTATATTTTGCTCTAGAAGGCTGAGTTTTGCCAGAATCAAGTATACATTTCCAGAGTTAATGCTAAATAAATTATTTCTGGTAAATAGGCCACCATAGCTGCTTGAGGCCGTAAAAAATTGTGTCCTGGGCTTTTTAGATTCATCTACCCATGTACTATCTGAAAGCAAAGGGAAGCACTGATTGCCAGATGCGATTCCCCCCCCCACTCTCTTACCCAACTAGTATACCCCATTGTGTCCAGCTCTAGGCAGCACAATTTAAGAAGGATATTCACATGCTGGATATTCATGAGCAAGATTACCAAGGATATGGAAACCAAGCTTTATGAGGAATGGTTGAGGGAGTTGGGTATGTTTGGCCTGGATAAGAGGAGACTGAGAGGAGATATGATAGCTATCTTCAAATATCTCAAGGGCTGTCACAGGGAAGAGGGAGCAAGCTTGTTGCCTCCTGCTCCAGAGAGTAGAACCCAAATGGATTCAAGTTACAAGGAAGGAGATTCCAACTAAACATCAGGAAGTCCTTCCTGATGGGAAGAGCTGTTTGACAGTGGAACAGTCTCCCTCAGAAGGTAGAGGACTCTCCTTTGTAGGGAGCTTTTAAGCAGAGATTGGATGGCCAGGGATACGTTAGCACTGCAGGAGGTTGGACTAGATGACTCTTCCAACTCTACACTTCTATCATTCTGTGATTCTAAGAGCTGTGTCTCCTCCCCGCTTCCAACTTCGCTGAGGATTCGGGGGGGGGTCTGCTTTGCAAAGCACATCACTCCAGAGCACAGCAGCATCACATCCTTTGCGCATCAGCTGGTAAACGGAGGATTCGTTCCTCCTGGGTACTGTTTTACAAGTGCTAGGGCATGGGTAGGCAACCTAAGACACGGGGACTGGATGAGGCCCAATCGCCTTCTCAATCCGGCCCACAGACGGTCCAGGAATCAGCGTGTTTTTACATGAGTAGAATGTGTCCTTTTATTTAAAATGCACCTCTGGGTTATTTGTGGGGCATAGGAATTCGTTCGTTATTTTTTCTCCAAAATATAGTCCGGCCCCCACAAGATCTGAGGGACAGTGGACCGGCCCCCTGCTGAAAAAGGTTGCTGACCCCTGTGCTAGGGTTACCTGCCTCTGCCTCTCCCTGCTTGATGCCCCCCCATAGCCCCATATATTCAGCAGTCCAGGGCTGCCTCCACTCATCTTGGCAAAAGCCCAGATCAGTCAGGTTCAGTTCAGGCTTTGCCTGAATGCGATGCACAACCCTAAACATTTCTTTTCAATGCTGGGGTTTTTTAAGTCACACACATTTGTTACAGTTAACTGACAGAATGTTTTAAAATTACCTTGTTTCAAGTTATTGCAACTTGGAAGGGAGGGAAATAATCTCTTTCTCTCCTCTGCCCCCTCACACCATGGCCCTTTTCCTTCTCACTTTGTTCCAGGGATCTGCACAGCTTATCATGAAAGCAAATACGAAAGTAGCGCTGTGGGGCCACCAAACACAGATGGCAGCCAGGACTATGGGGTTTTTCAAATAAACAGTCGCTATTGGTGTGACAATCAACAGGGCGAAACAGCCAATGGATGCAGAATCTCCTGCAGTGGTAAGCAACTTGGTGCCGTACAGATAGCCAGCAAAAGGCCTCTGCAATTTTCCAGAGAGGATGGGTTGTGTTTTTGAAGGAAGCACCCAATTTGTCTCCCTCCAGTTACCATTCTTCCTCTGCAATCCACACGCTCACTTAGAAACCTCATTCCCCACCTTATCACTACATTTCTATTGCCACCCGCCCCCAAGACATCCCAGCCTGTGCCTCTATTCTAATAAGCAAAGACCAGGGACAGGCCTAGCCTGGCTTTGCCCACCTCAACAACCTCGGGCTTGTCTTGTTGCCCTGACCCACCATCTATCTTGGGGGCCCCGCCTGCTTGGGAGACCTGCCTCATCACAGGTTCACAGAAGCAACGACGAGGGAGGACAAATCTGTCCATTCCAGTCATTATTATTGTTAATAGAGTGGTGTCTTGCAAGACGAAAATAATCCGTTCCGCAAGTCTCTTCATCTAGCGGTTTTTTCGTCTTGCGAAGTAACCCTATTAGCGGCTTAGCGGATTAGCGCTATTAGTGGTTTAGCGGCTTAGCGGCTATTAAAGGCTTAGCGGCTTAGCGGCTAAAAGGCTATTAGCGGCTTAGCGGCTTAGAAAAAGGGGGGGGAGCAGGAAAAAATCGCAAGACTTGCAAGACGTTTTCATCTTGCGAAGCAAGTCCATAGGGAAAATCGTCTCGCGAAGAAGCTCAAAAACGGAAAACCCTTTCATCTCGCGGGTTTTCCATCTTGCGATGCATTCGTCTTGCGGGGCACCACTGTAGCCGTACAGTAAGGCAGTTTCTCATTTTCCCTGTCTAAAGTTCAGTTCTCCATATTTCTTCCTAAAATTGTTTTGTTTTTTTAAGAGTAGCACATTCCTTTGCATTTTTGGTTGCATTTGTATGCAACTGTAACTAATGTAATGCATCTTTCTATGTTGTTCTCATTAATATATGGGTTTTCCCCTACCATGCATATTATTTGGCTGGAGAACTGCATTGAAAGATTAGGAATGATAACTGGATTTGGAGGTTTTGAAACTGTGTTTTGAAAGGCATCTGTCTTTAAGATTGCATATTATTTCAGGAAGTGCAAATAAGTTCACCCCCTGTTCCTTGCCAAGAGCTGTGTCTTGCTGGAGAAGCAAATAAAAACCATTACCTGGATGTCAGGGGCTCAGGAGCAGAGGCGCAGGGGAGAGAGGAAATGGGGAGCGAAGGGGAGGAATCTGAGGGCAGCGGAGGGGAGTACGAAAGTGGCCCGAGAGATTCCATGAGCTTCTCCAGCGAATCAGAAGATTCCCAGAAGGGGGCGCCGATGGTCAGGGCAAGGGGGGTCCCAGGGGGGACACACCAGAAGCAAGGGGCCAGCGGGGACTCCCAAAGCAGCAGCGGGAGATCAGGACCAGCTTCCCCACCAAAGCGTAGTGGGGGGGGAAGAGTCCCATGTGCCAGGGCCAGCGTCTCCCCCCTTCGGTGAGGCTAGCTGGACCTGACCTCCCCTCCGTTCCCCCACTCTCCGATAGAGGCGTGGTCAGCCCTGACTCATCTTCTCTCCCCGCTGGAGGAGACGCTGGCCCTGGCACATGGGACTCTTCCCCCCCACTATGCTCTGGTGGGGAAGCTGGTCCTGATCTCCCGCTGCTGCTTTGGGAGTCCCCGCTGGCCCCTTGTTTCTGGTGCGTCCCCCCTGGGACCCCCCTTGCCCTGACCATCGGCGCCCCCTTCTGGGAATCTTCTGATTCGCTGGAGAAGCTCATGGAATCTCTCGGGTCACTGTCATACTCCCCTACGCTGCCCTCAGATTCTTCTCCTTCGCTCTCCATTTCCTCTCTCCCCTGTGCCTCTGCTCCTGAGCCCCTGACACTACCCCTCTCTGTTGAATAGTTCTGAAGAATTGCTCCTCTTCGCCCCCAAATCCAGTTCTTGAACTTAGATGGGAAAGCATCATCAACACAGTGGCTCCTTCTGCTCCCCTTTCTCCAAGCGTCAGCCAAGAATGGAAGGGGAGGCAGTGCATCTTGAATGTCCCCCCCCCCATTAAAAAACCCACTACCTATTCCCAGACACACTCTTTAGCCCCCCATGATTCTAATGCAAGAAAATACATTTTCAGGCTTTCACCCATCCATAATGACAGCCAGAATGCTTTGAGTAAGGTGAATTAATTGTGTGAATAAGTAGCGCTGTTAGGATTCCTACAGCTTTTACTGAGTAGCTAGCACAGGGCGGAATCCAACACAGCCCTAAATAAATGTTCCATAAGGCAAGGATTTCTGTTTCCACATTGGAACATTATGCCCCTCTCCTCTCCCAGCACGACCCCTCAATCTTTTCTAAGGGTCCTCCTGACCCTCTGAAGCAGATTTGGCAAGGGCACAGGGCACACGGGATGAGGGGAGAGGGGAAACCTTTCTCTTGAACTTGCAGTCACTATAATTCACACACAAACACATAACCCCCACACAGGGAGGGAGAACTTCAGGGCAAATGTGGCCTTCCAGACATATCTGTCCCTTGACCATGCCCTCTCTCAGGCCCTGTTCTGTGTGCAGCCCAAGTGCTTCACCTGAATGTGCCCTTGAACTGTGATGAGACCCCCTTGCTTGCCTGCCTGGAGGATAAAGAGACAAGATGGGGGCTGAAAACTCTGACTGCTCTGTGGCTTCTGTAGCTGGCTGCATAAAGAGTCCTATCCTTTGACCCACCCACTTTTGCCTCTGCACTAGCATGTGGCCCCCATAAGACTTCCCAAGAGGAATTGTGGCCCTCAGGCTGAAACATACTGTCCAGCCCTGCCCTAATATCTGGAGGTCAGTTCAAAGGGGAAATGCTCTAAATGCTCCCCCAAAGTATTCCGGCTTTGAGTCTGAAGGGAAAAGCACTTCCACAATTCTGAGGCAACCCAATGTATCCTTCCTGAGCGCAAAGGCAGGATGTGCTTTATGGGGTTGGAAAAAAGCTCTTTAGAAAACCAAATACCCTCCTTTTCTTTCTGCTAATTTTTTCAACAGCTTTCACAAATGACGACATCACAGATGACATTGAGTGTGCTAAGACAGTTGTTCGTGACCCCCAAGGGATGGATGCCTGGTGAGTCTTGCTAACTTCTCACTGCTGGCAAGACTCAAAAGCAGATGAGATTTCAGTTGTTGAGACTGCTTAGAGACGTGTCTTTCACTAGGCTTTGTTGCAGCTAGCAGCTAAAGATTATTCCTCACTAGGCACTGGTGATGCCTCAAAGATGCTTCCTTAAATGTACAGCAATGACTTTTGGTGGCTCTTGCCTCTTGGGAGCTGTAAGTATCCAGGTGTGAGTTTAAGGGAACAGTCTAACAACTGAGCCACTGTACAGCAGTGGTCAAAAGTGATGGACCTGGGAGGCCTGAGTTCAAATCCTGGCTTACAGTGGCGTAGCATGGGTTGCCAGCACCCTGGCTGTGCAGAGGGGTCAGTGGGAGGGAGGGAAACGGATGAAGTACACATGCGCACTGCCTAACAGTGTTGGTGTCACGCTGGAGATTGCAGCTGCAGAGATTAGTTGTTCCGTTGTCTGGAGAGGTCACTTCCTGGTTCACACGGAGAAACCATTTCCAAGAGAGCCCTGCAACAGAAAGGCACAGCTGTATTGAGGCAGCACTGGGTATTGAAATTTTGCACCCCTAACAATTTTGCACCCACGGCAACCACATGCTACGCCACTGCCGGCTCACAGGCTGATACTTTGTCTCTCAGCCTAATCTACCTCGCAGGGTTCTTGAGAAGATAAGATAGAGAGAGAGGAGAACCACATATGCCAGCCCAAGTGCCTTGAAGGAAATGTGGAAACAGGTGTAATAATAAATAGATTGTACTGTAGGAAAGGATGAGGCACTCCGAGTTTTGTTGCTGACTGGGGGGAAACCCTGGGGCAGATGACTCAGTGCCTTGGGAAACTGAAACTATTTAAAAGATTTTCCCTTGCTTCCTCATACCCAGAAACAGTAGCTATAAATAAGCAGCTTATTATTATTGCACCTAGAAGGGCCTCAGATGATCATCGCAAGGTTCTGGTCGGTTCATATTGGGAGAGGTGGTCCTTGAGGTATTGCAGTCTTGAGCCAGTGGGAGAGTCTGATTTCTTCCAAAGCAAAGTCCTAATAAATGCCTGGCAATTGTTGGGGAACATGTTCTTACATTCAAGGCCACTACAAGGCATGGCATTGCACAGCACAGCAAGCAGTTCAGGATGCTGCCAGAGATGGTCCTTCCACCTGACCCAGCTGGGCTCTTATTAGGCTCATGTACTGCAGCTTTCCCATTTGCTCTTGGCCCTGGGGTAAAATGTGGTTTATGAGAAAACTAGGAGAAGGGAAACAAAACCAAGGATCTTGAGCAGCTTTCCCCAGTCTAGCGCCTCCCAATAGTTTGAACTCTAATTTCCATCACCTTTAGCCAGCGTGGCCAACGGTCAGGGATGATGGGAGTTATGGTCCAAAATATACAGAAGGCACCAGGTTTGAGAAAGCTGGTTTTTAGCATGCTTAAAGTTCCATGACAAATAAGGTTTCATCAGGTCATTCTGGGGTGGGGATAGGTAGACTCTACATTACCACCAGCACTGATCATTCTTCTGATGGAATTGCACCTCAATATGAAGGTTCTGGTCTAATGTCCAAAGGGAACTGATTAACATTACAAGTGATAATATTTAATTTACTCCAGAATGTTTTTGGCTTTCTATGTTTACAGGGTATAATAAGCTTATCAAGTTTAAGAACTTAATATTGCATTTTCTAATTGCAGCCAGACAGGGGGAAAATCTGGGTAGCTTAGACTTAACAGTACAGTACAGACCAGTTTGGATTTTAGCAATAGAAAGAACATTGCCCTTAAAATGCAGATTATGCAAGGAAAAGAAGAAAATAATCATTTTGCACCACTGGAAGAACCTTGTTACACATGCATCTTGCAAGACTTACAAAAATATACCACAAGGGCAGTTATAGGCATTTGGCAACTTTAATGTATGTAACATGAACTTGGGAATGATTTATTTCTTGAAGAAGCCATGATGTGCCTTGTAAATTGCACCAGTCCCTTTGTTGTTAGAAAAGAAAAGAAAAGAATAGAATAGAATAGAATAGAATAGAATAGAATCAGGGATGGGTTTTAAATAGATTGCAGGGGAGCAGGAGGGGGACCAGGGGGCAAAACATTCTGTGATTCTATGGTTAGTCTGGCCCAGTCAAGGTCACACAGTGAACAGGAAGAAGGAATGAGCAGCTGGTGCTGAGGCCTCACTGGGAAGCTTTCTGAGGTTTTGAACAGCAATCCATTTCACCCAGAGCAGTCCAAAGAGCAGTCGCCTTGCTCCCCACCATCCTCATTTTTTGCTTTCATTTTTCTTTCTTTCAGGGTTGCTTGGAAGAACCATTGCAAAGGAAAGGATCTCTCCGAGTGGACAGCTGGCTGCAGCCTCTGAGCTCCATAGTCCTGTATGAGATCCAGCATTTCTCTGGATTTTCCCTTTAGTGAAAGTGATCTCTACAAGCAAAATCCAGCTGCTTCTTTCTATACAAGCATTTACATACTGCAACTCCCATGGTGCAGTAGAATAGCTTTCTTTCTATAGGAAGGAGAAAATGTATTTTTAAAAAAATGTGTCTGGAGTGGGCAGTGATCTTGCTTGCCATTGTGGGTTTCTCTGCTTTAAGAACTTCAATAAATTGAGTCCAGTTAAAACTCTTTTCCTGTTTGACGGGTGAATGGGAGGGATAAGAAGCAAGAAGCAATCAAACATTGCTCTGTTCCCTGATTCCACTCAGTACTTATTGATTATTAAGGAAAAACTATTATTATTATTACTATTTCATAATTGGGAGGGAAGGTAAAAAAAGAAGATAAATGACTCCTGGACGGTAAAGTCCAGTCAAAGGCGACTATGGGGTTGCAGCGCTCATCTTGCTTTCAGGCCGAGGGAGCCGGAGTTTGTCCACAGACAGCTTTCCGGGTCATGGGGCCAGCAGGACTAACCGTGAGCAACAGAACACCGTGGCTGAAGCTAGAGCGCATGGAAACACCATTTACCTTCCCACTGCAGCAGTACCTATTTATTTACTTGCTCTGGCTTGTTTTTGAACTGCTAGGTTGGCAGCAAATTGAGAGGTAATTTGGGCTGCACCACAATACCTGTCCAGCATGGACAAGCTGATGAATTGCTAATTACTTTCATAACCATGCTAGTCTCAGGGAGGTATAACCTGTGTAGATACAGAGCACTTCCGCCTGACCCGTGCCTGGAAAGCACAGGTCCGGAAGTTTTCTGCTTGTCCTGTGCTTTCTAGACACAGGTTTTGCCTTGGCCCTGCTGCTTTCCCCTGGGAAACCTGCTCTTTAGTTCTGAATCAGAACAAATAGCATTCCACAGAAAATCCCATTGTTGTTTGTTCCAATTCAGCACAGTTCTCTTTAGCAGATTGCAGTCTCTGGGAGCTCAAATCCAGGAGTTTGAGAGGGAGACCCGGAGTGCTATTTCACAGTGTACACAGGACCAAGAGACATGAACAAAAAGGGAGCTGATGCAGTGACCTGCAATATCTGTGCTATGTTTCATGGGTATAGCCAGGATTTCTGTTGAGCTTTTTGGGTCAGATTACTCCACCCACCCACCCCTTGGCTACGCTCATTCCATGTTTGTCCTCCTGCCTGTGAATGTGCAAAACTACTCCTCCAGCAAGTGCAAGCTAGGTACAGCCACTTGAGGCCCACCTATCCACACTTTGAGCTAATGGGGAAGATGAGGAATTTCTCATAGAATCATAGAGTTGGAAGAGACCACAAGGGCCATCGAGTCCAACCCCCTGCCAAGCAGGAAACACCATCAGAGCACTCCTGACATATGGTTGTCAAGCCTCTGCTTAAAGACCTCCAAAGTAGGAGACTCCACCACACTCCTTGGCAGCAAATTCCACTGTCGAACAGCTCTTACTGTCAGGAAGTTCTTCCTAATGTTTAGGTGGAATCTTCTTTCTTGTAGTTTGGATCCATTGCTCCGTGTCCGCTTCTCTGGAGCAGCAGAAAACAGCCTTTCTCCCTCCTCTATATGACATCCTTTTATATATTTGAACATGGCTATCATATCACCCCTTAACCTCCTCTTCTCCAGGCTAAACATGCCCAGCTCCCTTAGCCGTTCCTCATAAGGCATCATTTCCAGGCCTTTGACCATTTTGGTTGCCCTCCTCTGGACACGTTCCAGTTTGTCAGTGTCCTTCTTGAACTGTGGTGCCCAGAACTGGACACAGTACTCCAGGTGAGGTCTGACCAGAGCAGAATACAGTGGCACTCTTACTTCCCTTGATCTAGATGCTATACTCCTATTGATGCAGCCCAGAATTGCATTGGCTTTTTTAGCTGCCGTGTCACACTGTTGGCTCATGTCAAGTTTGTGGTCAACCAAGACTCCTAGATCCTTTTCACATGTACTGCTCTCAAGCCAGGTGTCCCCCATCTTGTATTTGTGCCTCTCATTTTTTTTTGCCCAAGTGCAATACTTTACATTTCTCCCTGTTAAAATTCATCTTGTTTGTTTTGGCCCAGTTCTCTAAACTGTCAAGGTCGTTTTGAAGTGTGATCCTGTCCTCTGGGGTGTTAGCCACCCCTCCCAGTTTGGTGTCATCTGCAAATTTGATCAGGATGCCCTTGAGTCCATCATCCAAGTCGTTGATAAAGATGTTGAATAAGACCGGGCCCAAGACAGAACCCTGTGGCACCCCACTAGTCACTCTTCTCCAGGATGAAGAGGAACCATTCATGAGCACCCTTTGGGTTCGGTCAGTCAGCCAGTTACAAATCCACTGAGTGGTAGCATAGTCAAGACCGCATTTTACCAGCTTCTTTACAAGAATATCATGGGGCACCTTGTCAAATGCCTTGCTGAAATCAAGGTAGGCTACATCCACATTCTCGACAGAACAGAGTGAACTGTCCTGGAACAGAGATGACAACAACAACAACAACAACTTATTATTTATACCCCGCTCACTCTGTGCGGCTCCCAACAGAATATTAAAAACATCAAACATTAAAATCTTCCCTAAACAGAGCTGTTTTCAAATGTCTTCTAAAAGTCAGATAGTTGTTTATTTCCTGGACATTTCTGTGGGATGTAATCCACTGGGAGCAGTCAAGTACAACATTCCTTGTTCTGCTAGCGTGGACATGCAAGGGGATGTTGGCCCAGCCAGCCGAAACTTCCTGTTCCTCCTGGCCTGGAGCATCCTTCCTTTTGCATGTGACTAGTGGGTGGGAGTCCCCTTCATGGATCACTGCCTTGCCGTGGCGACGGGGCTTGAATAACTCAGAGAAGCTATGAGCTATGCCATGCAGGGCCACCCAAGATGGACAGGTCATAGTGGAGAGTTTTGACCAAACGTGATCCACCTGGAGGAGGAACCGGCAAGCCACTCCAGTATCCCTGCCAAGAAAACTCCATGGACAAAGACAACAAGTATATAAAAGTTATGACACTGGAAGATGAGCCTCTCAGGTCGGAAGGCGTCCAACATGTTACTGAGGAAGAGCAGAGGACAAGTACAAGTAGATCCAGAGCTGATGAAGTGGCTGGGCCAAAGCCAAAAGGACGCTCAGTTGTGGATATGCCTGGAAGCGAAAGGAAAGTCCAATGCTGTAAAGAAAAATATTGCATAGGAACCTGGAATGTAAGAACCATGAACCTTGGTAAGTTGGATGTGGTCAAAAATGAGATGGCAAGAATAAATATTGACATCCTGGGCATCAGTGAACTAAAATTCAGTTCAGATGACCATCATATCTACTACTGTGGGCAAGAAACCCGTAAAAGAAATGGAGTGGCCCTCATAGTCAACAAAAGAGTGGTGAAAGCTGTACTGGGATGCAATCTCAAAAATGATAGAATGATCTCGATACGAATCCAAGGCAGACCTTTTAACATCACAGTAATCCAAGTTTATGCACCAACCACTGGTGCTGAAGAAACTGAAATTGACCAATTCTATGAAGACTTATAGAACACCTTATAAATGACACCAAAGAAGGATGTTCTTCTCATTATAGGGGATTGGAATGCTAAAGTAGGGAGTCAAGAGATAAAAGGAACAACTGGCAAGTTTGGCCTTGGAATTCAAAACGAAGCAGGGCAAAGGCTAATAGAGTTCTGCCAAGAGAACAAGCTGGTCATCACAAACACTCTTTTCCAACAACACAAGACTCTACACATGGACATCACCAGATGGACAGCATCGAAATCAGATTGATTATATTCTCTGTAGCCAAAGATGGAGAAGCTCTATACAGTCAGCAAAAACAAGACCTGGAGCTGACTGTGGCTCAAATCATCAGCTTCTTATAGCAAAATTCAAGCTTAAACTGAAGAAAGTAGGAAAAACCACTGGGCCGGTAAGATACAATCTAAATCAAATCCCTTATGAATACACAGTGGAAGTGAGGAACAGGTTTAAGGATTTAGATTTGGTGGACAGAGTGCCTGAAGAACTATGGATGGAGGCTCGTAACATCTAATGAGGGTGAAAGAGGAGAGCGCAAAATATGGTCTGAAGCTCAACATCAAAAAAACGAAGATCATGGCCACTGGTCCCATCACCTCCTGGCAAATAGAAGGGGAAGAAATGGAGGCAGTGAGAGAATTAAAAGACGCCTGCTCCTTGGGAGAAAGGCGATGGCAAATCTAGACAACATCTTAAAAAGTAGAGACATCACTTTACCAACAAAGGTCTGTATAGTTAAAGCCATGGTTTTCCCAGTAGTGATGTATGGAAGTGAGAGCTGGACCATAAAGAAGGCTGATCGCCGAAGAATTGATGCTTTTGAATTATGGTGCTGGAGGAGACTCTTGAGAGTCCCATGGACTGCAAGAAGATCAAACACATCCATTCTTAAGGAAATCAGACCTGGGTGCTCACTGGAAGGACAGATCGTGAAGTTGAGGCTCCAGTACTTTGGCCACCTCATGAGAAGAGAAGACTCCCTGGAAAAGACCCTGATGTTGGGAAAGATGGAGGGCACAAGGAGAAGGGGACGACAGAGGATGAGATGGTTGGACAGTGTTCTCGAAGCTACAAACATGAGCCTGACCAAACTGCGGGAGGCGGTGGAAGACAGGAGTGCCTGGCGTGCTCTGGTCCAATGGGGTCACGAAGAGTCGGACACGACTAAACGACTAAACAACAACATTTCTGCAAATAGTCTTTAAATTTCTTCCAATCTTCTTCCACCAACACTTCTCCCTGGTCTCGGATTCTGCCAGTCATTTCTGCCAATTCCATATAGTCTATCACCTTCATCTGCCACTCTTCCAGTGTGGGTAAATCTTGTGTCTTCCAATACTTTGCAATCAGTATTCTTGCTGCTGTTGTTGCATACATAAAAAAAGTTCTATCCTTCTTTGGCACCAATTGGCCGACAATGCCCAGAAGAAAGGCCTCTGGTTTCTTCAGGAAGGTATATTTAAATACCTTTTTCATTTCATTATAGATCATCTCCCAGAAAGCCTTAATCTTTGGGCACGTCCACCAAAGGTGAAAGAATGTACCTTCAGTTTCTTTACATTTCCAACATTTATTATCGGGCAAATGATAGATTTTTGCAAGCTTGACTGGTGTCATGTACCACCTGTATATCATTTTCATAATATTCTCTCTTAAGGCATTACATGCCGTAAATTTCATACC